TGTGCTTGTGCTGGGGTTGCATTCATTCAGGGAACTAAAAGTATCCCAAAGAGAGGAGGAAACAGTCTCCTGGTTTGTTCTTGAGCCCTGCACAGAAATTGGGCTGAAGGCAATACTATAGAACAGTTGGGTAACATTAAAATATATTCCAGCTCAGCATGGGAGGGAAGGAGGAGGGTTCAGAGATGGTATGAAATGTAAAATAAATTATTATCATCTTGTAGAGACAAAGCTTAGAACGTTCTTCAAGATTCAGAATGACCAAAAAAGTGCTGGAGATGAAATAGTTATACATAAACACCTCCAGTATTTGTATGAAAAGTTGCAACAATTTCCAAGGCTCAGTGGATTAGATTAAGTTTAGGTCACTGTTAGGGCCACCAGCTGCAAAACAGGGACAGATGAAAAATGTGATTGTATGGACATCCTTCCATATGATTCTGATTTATAATCAGAATTTTTGGAAGCTGAAGACATTACCTCTATTTCTTGTATTTATGAAAAAGCAAGAGTCCTTTTATCAGTTACTGTGTTATAAATGAATAAAGTGCATTTTAAAAATCAGGCCCAGTATTAAACAGCAGTGCAGCTGTGGTTAACAAATGTGAATGATCCCTGGAGGAACAGCACTGTCTGCTCGCCCAGACCCCTCTGTGGAGCTCATGTTCTCCTGAACTTTGCTATATATCACCAGTTATAGCCTGACACAAAGCCAACCTACTGCAGCTTATTTAAATTTCTTAGAATTCCTTCCTGAATTGGCATTAGTTCTTTATGACAACACCATCCTTTGTGGAGAGCTGTTACTCTGTCCACAGGGACACTCGAGTCAGGGCTCTGAGCATCAGTGGCCTGATACAGATATTTTACATCAGATTTCCTGTCATCTGCCCCTTATGTCCTTTGTACATCTGCTTTACTCTGTGTCTGTGGCTCATCTTCATATTTACCTGCTTTTCCTTGCCTTGTGCTTTTATAAGAAAGGGGAAGGTTAATTTATTCTTTTTTTTTTCTGTGTAGAAAATGAATTTATGCAATAAATTGTAAGATTATTATGTGTTTTTCTTTTAAATTAATTTGGTTGTTAGAAATGTAAACTTTGGATGAAATACTTTAAAACATCAGATGATAAATGTTTGTGTTTGTGGAGTTCCATAACTTGCAATACACACAATTTGGCTTATAGCTGAAAAGTTCATACCCCTGCAGCAGTGCTGGGAAATGATTGTGAAATCTCTTCAGTGTAAACTTTTTTTGGTTAAAAATATAACATGTTCTCCTTTCCTGCTTTTCAGGTAGGAAATACCTATGTTTATTACTTGCAATGATCAAACTGAGAAACAAAGAAGGAAATGGATACATATTGTAAAAGTGGAATGTGAATAAATTAAACTAAGAAAACATGAACTGTAAACCATCTGTTTTCTATAAAGAACTCTTTGCTAATCCACATAACTTTTATTATCAGAATACTGAAGTAAGTCTCTCAAAAATTAACTCTTATAAATATGAAATACCTTCAAAAAAAAATGGGAAAAGGCAAAATATATTCCCACTCTTCTGAGGCTAAAGGAAGGAATGGAGACAGTTGGATTAAATAACTAAATGCAATTATTTATCTTCCTTTATTTTTATTTTTTACAATAACCTCTTGTGGCTGGTGCTTCTACTGAATTGCTAATGGAGACACTGAGTTGTGAACCAGATCAGGCTTTGCTTCTGTGTTTTCTGATTCTGCTGTAAATAAGCTCATTAAGCTGTTTGATGCTTGTTAGATCTTGCTGTTACTGATGAAACAAATAAGATTTTAATACATGTTTAGTTCTTAGTTTACAAATCTATTTTCTTCTTAAAACCACTAAATAATATTCTGAAACTAAATACCAGAGCAAACATGAAGCAAGGATGTTTTGCTACCAAAATCTGGTGCTTGTGTAGTGGTATAATTGGTTTATCCAGAGCTCCACACTTGCAGGGCTGCTTTGAGTACCTGGATCAGGGTGGATGTCTGTCTGCTCCAGGACACTGCAACATGGAGCATTGTAGGCATGCTGTTCCCAAATTTAAGGAGCTGGAAAATGCCTTGGAATATAACCACAGTTGGTAGTGCTTAAAAAAAAACCCACAGAGTTTAAAATTCTCCTGTATGGAGGCACTCAGCATTTCCTGGTGGTGAGGAGCAGTAGCAGCACATTAGCAGAGCTGAGGGGAGGGAGGGCACATAAAGGTCAGTGTGACCCCTCTGCAGTCCTGTCTCCAGCAAGGGCCATGAGCAGATGCTTTGGGAAGAGTGGGAACAGGACAGTCAAGTAGGATCCTCGTCTCATCCTGTCTTCAGATGTTCTTCCATTCTCCAGCTATTTTCAGATCAGCTCTTTTGTACCTACTGTGCTTTGTTTAACAACCTGTAATGGATCTCTTCCAAGAAATACAATTACCTGTGCAGTCTTCTCTTGAAACACAGGTAAAATTGCTGCTGTGTCCTCGGGAGCTCAGTTTAAGGGCTGACTTTTCACTGCTACAAATGGCTGTTTGTACCTGGGCCATATCCCCTGATGGCTCCTTGCCCCTGTCCTGGAGCAGCTGATCCCTGGATCCATGCTGTCTGTGCAGCTCCTAATTTTGTGGGGATCTTCTGCAGCTCCTCTTAGGAATTTCTTTGCTGAGCTGGTGAGTGCCTTCTATGCTGTTTAGATAGAAGCCATTCCTTACCTTTGGTGGCCTCATTACCTTTCTGAGATCCTTTTCTAATCATGCCATATGTAATTACACCAACTACCTGAGGGTTTGGAAATCAATAATTTGATTAATGTCTGGGTGAATCACAGATTTATAGTGGTGCCTTGATGTCTCTTGCTTTCTCTTTCTCTCTAGTTACTCTACATTTGAGTTTGCTGCTGGGTACCAAGCCAATGTTTTTCATTGAACCACCTACTGAACTACTTGAGTCTTGCTGCTGAGTGGTGGCAATGAGGTCACACTTCCATCTTTCCCTTGGCTATCACTTCTCTTTAACAGTGATGAGTTTCATTGGCTGTTTTAGCATCCCAAGGCCTTGTTGCAGTCACTCATCAATCCTTAGCTCTCCTAACCTCCCTGCTCAGCCTGCTTTGTCCATCTCTTGCAAGTGTTTTAAACTGAATAAATTCCAGCAAAGCTCCCACCAGTGGGATCCCTCCACAGCAAGAACTGACCGTTTATTCTTCCTTAAAAACCTCTCAGAAATTTTTATAGGCAGTTTGGACCAGGATCTCCCTTTTCCCCATCCTTCATGATTCCTTCAGAGAACTCCAAGAGATTTGCAAGGGCAGAGCATCGTGGCTTTTACAGAAGCCATTCCCAGTCTTACCAGAGCAAACTGTATTCAGCTCAATATCCATGAATTCTGTTCTTTGTTAGGAATTCCTGTTTCTCCAAAGCTGGCAAGTCTTTAGTTCCATAATCACCCTAAAATCCTTCTGGAAGAACAGTGTCCTATTTGCCACAGATGAGAGATGATAATATTAATTGAAAGAAAAGTGAGTTACAATGGTTCTTTTTGTAATACAACTTTCATGTCCCATTTGAAGGAGTTAAATATAATAAGACTCAAATGAGTTAAATGTCATAAGCTCTAAAGCTTTCAATAACTGTCAGTTTGACTTTAAAAAATGTATATAACTAGTTGCTGCAAAGTTCATATCTTTAATTCTACTTTAAAACTAAAGCTAAGCTTTGCTTGAGAGATGATTTTAAAAAGCAGGAAGTTTGTGATAGAAGATATAATATTCATACTATAGAAGGATAGTGTCCTTTTTTTAAAGCTGAGCAAACCTTTCAAAAAAGCCTCTATTTTAGCCTGCATTTTGTGCACCATTCACTTAAAATTTGAAATAGCTGAAAGGTTCCCTAAGGTTCATATACTCCATGTTTATATTGATAAAGCTATAAAGTTGTAAATATATCTAAATTTGTACATATTTTAATGAGTATGCATATGTTCCTTGTTCATGAGCCAGAGGTTGATAAATGTTAATAAACATCTTTTAAGAAAGAGGAAGACAAGGTTATATTCATGGGCTTAAAGTGAATCTTTATGTTAAAAAATGTGTCACTAGGTATTTTCATTTTCTTAAAGATTGTTTCATCAGAAACCAAAATATATGAAGGTGGGCTTCAAAAAATAACTGACATTGTAAGAGAAAAAAGAAAACAAACCTGTGTGTTACTTCATAGAAACACTGGTACAAATCTACTCACATACTTTTTGTAGCTTTTTGAGTTTTCATATAGTTAAAGTACAGTGTATTCTTTTGCTTGCATTCTTTTTTTTTCCTGTTGAAAATGGGGATTCTCCCTCACAGGTAACAAAGCATTAATGGGGAAAAAGTGCTGAAAAATGAAGAAGGAAAAAAAAAGCAATAAAGTGCTCTATAGTGTTATCTTACCCTGTAGTTATTTGGATCTGTTTCTAGGCATAAGACACCAAAAAATCTACATAGCTGAAGGATTATACAGTATTTCAGGTTACTTAAAGCAGTTTTAATTCTACTTTGAAGCAGAATGTAGCTGACTGCTATTAGCTTTGCAGAGGGACAGTCTAAAATATTAGTTCAAAAAACCTGGAATGCTTCTATTTGTGCCTGTTCTACCTGACTAACAATTCTAATAAGATTATATTACAGTTTTATATGTCTTCTGAAGTAGCATGGGCTAAAGCACAGGTAAAATGTAAATGCTAATGGTTCAGTTGTGTTAATACTCCTACTTCTCCCTAGATTCTAAGAGTGTGATGAAAGGTTGTGTATTGCCTATGTTACTAATAAGCTGAAATATCATTTGAAAGACTGTGATAGTTGAGGTACAGACAGAGAAGTAAATATTATAATACACCTTGTCAGGACACTTAAAACACAGAATGGGGAATAGAATTTTTGAGAAAAATCAAACCTCCAAGATTGATTTTCTTGTCCAGTTAGAAGCTGGAAGAAGAAACATCTGTATTTCTGGAGGATGTGGAGGAACCTTGTGGAAGTGTTCTTGTGACCTCACCCTCCTGTCCTGCTCTCTGGTGTGTCTGTTCTCCTCTGCTCTCAGCAGTAGGATGCAGAGCTGGGAGGATTTTTGCCCTTAACTATTTGTTCCTATAGAGTATGACATTCATGTGTGTTTTAGGCATTTTGCAGTTTAGGACACAGAAGCTTTTTCAGGTCAGTTTTCTTCACCCAAGGGCAAGCCCACCATCAACCCAGGGATGTATCAGACTTTGTCTGATGCTCAGGTGAGTGCTCTTTGTTCCTGCTGTTCTGGTTTTTACTACACCACTAAGAGGACACTTCCCTACACTAAATCCAACCTCCACACATCCATATTAAACATCCCAGACTATCCAATTGTTCTAGAGTGGCTATGAGTGACCCCCAACTAAGGAAAACTTTCCCTGTACGCTCGTTAACAATTCCTTCAGTGAAAGTAAGGGTAGAAGTAGTTGTTGTCTTGTGCTTCCTGATCTTCTTCGGTGTCCTGACTGTGCGTTTCAGGATTGTCTTCTGCTTCCTGGTATTCCTCGGGGGTTAGGAACCGCCGGAACACCGGTGTTCGCAGCCGGCTTGGCTTGTTGAGAGTCACATTTTGTTCTCCATAGTAGATGGTTCTGATGAGGGGGAAGCAGAAGAAGGCATAGCTGCTGATGGGGCTCGTCAGCTTGTTCTGGTCCACGCGGATGTAGGTCAGCTGGTGGATGTTCAGTGGGTCCAGAGTTGGGCACATCAAAGTAACGTTTATGTCTGCAAGAGAGTGAAAAATCTTAATTAAAATGCAGGAATTTAAGACCTATTGCAAAAGCGAAACTCACGTTTTGGAATCGAAAAGGGAAAATATTTTTGCGCAGTAATAGCATTTTTGCATTTTAAATCAGTTTTGTAAATGGCAGTGATGGCAGTTTTGGGGTTTACAGACTATAAGGTTGTGGAGTAAAAAAAGAAAAAATATTACTACCACTACAGTTTGTAATCAGTATTTTATGTGAATGAAATGTTTTTTGAATTCCTTTTGTCTGTATGTTTTTATCAGTTGCCACATCAGAAGAAAATTTCAAAAAGTTTTTAGCTTGTTCTATGAAAAACTGGTATTAAATTTTACAAGGAATTGCAAATTAGGGGTAAACTGAAAAATCAAATCCTCTCTAATTTCACCAGTTTGGTCTCAAATGACTGAGGATGTGTTTACAATGCATCCTGAAGAAGATGGGATGATATTCTCCCTGCATTCCTCCCACAACCAGTGCCAAAATCCACTAAGTTTTCTGCTTTTAAAGAATTTTATCCATCAACGTACTTTCAAGTTCATTGCCTTCAATATACAAGTGCTGCAAACTTCTTGGAATATAGAATACTTGTTTCAGTTTGTTGTGTCCAAGGTTAAGTTCCAGGAGGTTGGGTAGGTTAAAGGTGTTGCGTGGAATGTCCTGCAGGTTATTGTGGGACATTCTCAGAGCAATGATTTTGGGAAGTCTGTGGAAATAGTTTTCTGGAATATAAGAAATGGAATTATTTTCGAGAGAGAGGTGCATAAGTGATGATGGCAGACCAGGAGGCATAGTCTGTAACTTGTTGTTGCATAAGTTGAGCTGCAGTAGATTTTTCATGTTGGAAAAGGGTCTGTCTTTGAGTACTGAGTCATCAAGTAAGTTACTGCAAAGGTCCAGCGTGGTGATGTTGGGTAACCCTTCCAGTGCCTCCCCAGGCAACCGGGAAATCTTATTGAAGCCAAGGAGGAGTCTCTCTAGAGAGCTGGGCAGTGGGAATGGAAACTCTTCTAACTCGTTATGTTGCAAATAAAGCTGCACTAAGCTTGAAAGTTTGGCAAAAACCCCCTGGTCAATCCTATGGAATTTAATTTTGTTGTAGCTGAGGTTGATTTCCCTCACAAAGGTGACATTAGTGAATGGTGCTGCAGGCACAGCTTCAATGTCGTTGTTCTGCAGGTAAAGTTGCTGGACGTGACTGGGGATATTTGGGATTGTCTTCAGGTTCCGATGGTCACAGTACATGGACAAGGGGAAAGCTGGTGGGCAGAAACATTCCCTGGCACACTCCACTGGGAAAGGAAAGCGAGGAACTTCAGCTTGTGTGTTCAGGTTAAAATAATACGGAGTTTGATGGTCTGGCTCCTCATAGTCATCCTCGAAATCATAATCTTCGTACTGACAAACGACCAAAGCAGCCCAGAGGAGGGGAAAGATTGATTGGCTCAGAATCCTCATATTTAAATTCATATGTTGTAACCTGTTGATGAGAAGGAAAATTAAGTTTTAGATAGTCATAAAGTAAATTACATGTAAGTTTAACTTTTAAAAAGCAGCAATATGTAATGAAGTAGAACAGTGCATTTCTTTGGCAACGCTGTCAGTGCCATTATTCACAGAACCAAGTTTTGATCTGTACCTTTCAAGAAAAAAAAAGCATAAACAAATTCATTGTACTTGAAGTAAAAAGAAGTTTTCTGGTCTGACTTCAGACAAGGAACAGCTTTCTACATGTCCTGTGCCTGGTACTGAAGGACACCAGTTGGGAGTGTTAACCAATCCCAGTCTTCATTCCTGTCTCACTTTAATTTACTGCAGAGTTGCAGAAGGGTTTTTTATGAAGTGGTATCACTGAGGTTTGTGTTGGACAGTGGGTTAAGCATCAGCCTTATAACTCAGTTTGAAATGGGTGCAGATGGAATTCCTGAGTAACTTTCTTCCTCAGACCTTTAGAAACACAGCAGTACCCTGGTTATACACCGATATTTGTAGGTACTCTAATTATACCCATTACACATAATACCCTAATTAGACACATTTTTGTAAAGGCATTTTTTGTCCTCACTCTGGTGCATAGCCAATGTCACACAAGTGTTTGGAAGTGATTTCACAGAATCACAGTCATGGAATGGTTTAGGGTGGAAGGGACCTCAAAGCCCATCTCATTCCAGCCCCTGCCATGGGCAGAGACACTTTGCACTAGCCCAGGTTGCTCCAAGCCCCCTCCAACCTGGCCTTGGACACTCCCAGGGATGGGGCAGCCACTTGCTGCTCAAGTGTTTCCATCTCCAGCAGCAGATTAGATCAGCCTCGACTTTCTCTTGGAGATCTTCAGGGGTGGAATTCCAGCATCTCTAAATAACCCAAGGCAGTGCTGTACTACCCTCCTTGTGAAGAAACTGCTTGTCTTACTAAGCATCCAAGCCATGGCTCGTGTCTGTTGTTTTTAAACAAAGTTACTTTTGTTAAAAATATATGTCCTGGACTAAGGTGAGGTAATCCCAGGATTGTTTCTATAAAGAGAACATTGAAATAGATTGGACATATTGTATATTACATAAAATAGAAATTTATGTGGCCTTGGGGATTGTATGTTCTGTGGCATTTCATGTTGTTTTTCTATTATTTTCCACAAAACATGGCTGACTTAGTACTGTGTGTTAATAATGGTAAAAATGGGATTTTTTCCATTCCCATAACTTAGTTAAATCCAATGCACTTCAACCATTGTCTGCACATCACAAAAAATCTTCATAGTCTTCCTGTGCTTCTCTGATCCTATGTTCTCTATAGATGTGAACTACTTGGCCTTCAAAGTACCCTTGTGAGGTGAAACCCTGATGGTGTGAAAGACAAATCATTTTGCAAAGCCAGACTAACATTGTAGAGCACTTTGTGCAGTCAGAGGAACCCTGTGATTTGGCAGAATTAGCAACCGTGAGTCATGTCAGGCTGTTCAACCTAAACAACAGCAGATGAGTCAAAATGTAACATTGCAGGTCAAAGCACATAAACCATGGAAAAGTTTTAGAGACTTTGCTCAGTATAGGACGAGAACCCTGAGGCAGAGAGAGGAAAGCAGATATTCTCAGGGGGTTGTATAATGACATCCATGTTTCTTATTCAAGGGACTCTGTTTTCTTGATACTCTTAATATTTGGTTACTGAACACTGTCAGTAACAAAGGAGATGAGACTTAGAAATTCCAATTTCCTATGATTCCTAGTGGTCATTGCCTAATGCATGATGTATTCTATGAATTGAACAATTTTGGTTCTCAGTGCCACAGCTGCCCTAAGAAACCAGGAGGAACAACCAAGGAAAGTCTGCTCAGTTTGGGAAAACCCTTTCTTAGACCTTTGTGGATTGATCCACTTGCCATGTGGATGGTGTAAAGAGAACTACCATCATGTCAGATGGGAGGATAAATAATAGGTACCAAAATCTCCCAGTGGATTTGTGAAGAAACTGGTATTTGGGGGGAGTTCTTTGTGCCTTGGCTCTCGGAGAGTATGTCTGATAAATACTAGAATAGTAACTGTCCTGCCAGTCTTGCAGGTCACTTCTCAGAGCACTGAGATATTAACACTTCAGGAGATATTTCTAAGAACTTAACCTTAAAACAGTCATGGCAGGGGAAACTTGATAACAGGAGATGCAAGTCAGATGCACTCAATATGATAAACCACATACTTAGAGCTGAAAACAGAAAGTCTTAAAAGCACAATTCTCTCCCATCTGTAATGAACTCAGAGCTTACTAACTGTATTTGTAAGCAGTTTAGGCTACAAATTATAGAACATGCACGAATCACTCCTTACTGAAAAAATAACACAATCAGTTCATTTTATTCCTGCTTACCAAGAAAACTTACTCTTTGGAAGTCGGTGAAGTTGAAGTTGTAGAGGGCAGCAAGTTATTGTGCTGGTGAAATCATCTGAGACTTAAGCCTAGCGCAGCTGGAGGAACAAAAGATCTGTCTAAGCCATATTTTGTGGTGAGGAGCCTTGTGGGAAGGCAACATGAAATAACAGCCTTGGCCCCTCTTCTGATTTGCCAGTAAAATAAAAAAAAAAGTGCTTTGTGCCACATCATCAGTTGCTGTAGATGCTGTGTCGTAAGGCTGTGAAGCAATTTGTCCTTTTGTTAAAATCACAATAATTTGCAAGATTCTTTCAGTGTTACCAGTTCCCATAAAAAAAAAAAAAAGAGAGAATAAGACTTCAAAAATGATTACAGAGGTTATTAGTTCATCAGTTCAGCTGCAGTGATTCAGTTCTGCAAAGGGTTTGTCCTCTGAGGGTGAAGTTAAGAAACAGTAAAAAAAATTACCCTTACCAAAACTGAGGGAAAACGTGTGCCATAGAAGAGCTCTTATAAACATCTTCCATTTTTCTCTCCCCAATCTATATGTCCTGTCTCCTTCCTGCAAAGAACTTGTGCTATGCAGTGCTGTCAGAGTGGTGGTGGTAAAGTTAAGGATTCACAGGGAGTTCCCAGCATCTTTTTTGTTAAGTCATGTAGAGAGAGCATAAATCTTACGAAAAGGGCAAGTGTGACATGAGACAAAACCCATTTTACTCAAGAAAAATATTATTCATACCTTTTAAGAGGAATTAAAGAAAAAAGGCACAGTTATCTGTATGATACTTGCTGCTGTATGATACTTAAATAACTGTGATATATGCAAAAAAAATGGAGAAAATGGACAGGTTTTGTGTGAAGTGGATTAAGTGTTTGATTTTTCCAAAGCATTTAATTATGTTTTTGGTTTGGTAGAATAATTAAGTTATTTCCAAATCTAATCAAAAGAAAGAATCTAGGTCTTAAAGATGTTTCTTAAAAAGTGCCTTAGAGGTATATTTTAAAAAATAATGCAATACTAAGTTTCTTTTTTTGACTTTGAGCTTTGTGACTCTGATTTGCTCGACCTTTTCAAGTTTCTTCTTTAACACTGAGAACAGGAACATGTTTAAGAAGATAAATCTTACCTGATTCTAAAATTGGGGATATAAAGAAAAGAACCAGAAGTCATGCCCAAAATACTATTGTAGGAGTTGGCAATACTGGAACTAAACTAAAGCAGTCATGTATTTATGTAGAGAATACAGAATACAAGAGAGAGGTTGAAAGAGAGAAATTAAAACTCCATAATCCTTGATTAACAGTACCATAAATAGCTGAATGGCTACATTGTACCACTAACCCCAAGGAATACTAAAAAAAAGAGTAATTTTTGAAATAATTAGGATACCTTCAGAACAAGTAATTAAAAAACCCACTAAGTTTGTTATGCCCAGTTAGTAAAATGTTATTGGCTGTTACAAACTTTGGGTATTTTTTAAGCACAAGACAAAAAACATGTTACAGATTCTTGGAAGCTTTGTTCTATTAACAGTTCTAAACAAAATATATGTGAAATTTAAACCTATTTTATCTAAAGATAAAACTTAGAGTTTTAATTCCATACCTGATATTTTTCTTATTGTTTCCTAGTACTCATTGTGTCCAAAAGGCTCTTAAGGTATTAAGAGAGTTAAAATCTCATGGTGCATTTAAAAATCCATGGTGGCAGTGAAGGAGAGTCTGTCCTTTTGAGAAACTGGGGTAAAGCTCTTGATTTAAAGCACTTTGAGCTGCAGAAGATGATGCAGCTCTGGCCATGGGATATATTAAGATTCAGTTCCTGTTTTGTTGCCTGAGCTGTCTTGGAGACAAACAAGTCTATACTTTGTGATCTTGGTCAAGCTGTGTGGTTTGATCTGGGGTTTCATTTGAGGTGTGGTAGGAATTTCCTTACAAGGAGGATAATGAGAGGGTTAAATTTAGCATCATCCATATAAGACATTTTGTTTCAAAGACTGAACGTTTTTTAAATTTTCAATGTTTTGGTTTCTAGTTTCAGAACATATTTCATAAAGACTTATTTTTACCATTGAATTAGTGAACTTTTTTATGCAGTTGTGATGCAGAGCTGGATGTCTGTCAGTGTAGCAGTCAGGGTTGGCTTCAAGATCATTTATTTTCTTAAGCCAAACTTGGATGGATCCTTTTAATAGATTAAAATCTTTAGAATTTTGCCATCTCCATTAACTGCATTCAGTTTAGGAGACTTGACAGCTTTTTCAGGTTTGTTTCGGGACTGAAGGCATAAGGAAGAGGTCTGTTCTAGGATTTAATGAATTTAGGTTAGTTTAGCTAGTTGAGTACAGTCAACCTAACACATTTGAGATAGCCAAATATTCACAGAATAAAGTAGAGAAGATCACCAGTGACACTGAGGTGAATGGGACTAGCCCTGATAATAAGAAGGTATGAATTACACTACTTGGCCTTTTCCTTATATTCACTGGTTTAAATTCTTAGGGGGGTTTTTGTGTTTGTTGGGTTTTTCTTGGTGAGGTTTTTTCCTTTCTCTCCCAAACTTAATATATGAAGCCAGAGAAAGGAGAAAAAAAAAAAAAAAGCATGCATCTTGTTTATAGAGAATTAAGGGAACTGATATGAAGCCAAGCTGCTGAAATTAGACCTGAAGACTGTCTTGTACACATAATTTTGCTAGAATTAGGAAGCTCTTCAGCAGAGGTAATTCTCCACTGCCAAATATCTGAAGAAAAGCCTCAAGCTCAAAACTTTTAAATCCTCAGTTGACAACTCGGTAGGAGTTCTGTTTCAGATAAGAATTGGTAATGTTGGTTTGTTCTGAGTGATTGCACTGCAGAAAAGTCAAATATAATGAGGAACTGTGAATTGTAATTCGGTTCCCTGTAAAGCCTGTGGGTTTCTGAAATAGGAAAGAGCCTTAGGCTGGTGTCATCTCCTGGGCTGCCCTTCAAGGTCGGGCTGTAGGCACAGAAGCTCGTTGCATCCTAATTTCTAGGTGTTAACTGGCAATCCCCAAATACTGTCAGACCACCTGCAACCTCTGTGAGTCCTGTAGAAGGTCTGCAAAGGCACTTCTTGTCCTTGCCATCACCAGAAGTAACTGAGTGGCAACTGAATAGTGGCTGCTGGATTTATTTATCCTGTGCAGGATCTGAAAATCCAGTGACTGCAGTGCAGAGCTCAGCAAATCAAGATACTCAACTGCTTGTTCCTGCAGAGGCTCCAGCCCAGCCAGAGCCCTCAGTTAAGAACAACCCTTCCAGGCTTCATGTCAGTCTGTTCTTCAGTGGAAAGCCATTCCAGGAGCGTGTCCCTGTGTGAATCTGTGTTTTTAAAGGAAAAGGTTATGGAAAAGGGGCCATCAGATCATAGCAGTAGTCCTGCAGAGCTGAGACAAGAACTAACCCGTTTAAAAGAGCAAAGGAAGGCAGGGCTGTGCCATGTGTGGGGCTTTGCTGTTGCCTCTGACCTGAACCTTGGTGTGTGGTCTCTCTTAATTTCCCATTTAGTAGGTGGTATTTCAAGGTCAAAACTCTGGCAACTCACTTCTTGTGCAGCCCTTTTTAAGTGTTTTGCTCTGTTTTGCTAAGAGCTCCTGGGAAGAACATGTTGAGCAACTGAAAACAGTTGAGTTTATTGACCTTGTACCATGGGAATTAATATAATCCCATTGGCAGTTGTTGAGTAACTTCTGCTAATGAACAGTAATACACTGAATTTTTCGAGCTGAATGTACTAGAAGCATCCAGAAGCAATACTTTAGGGAACCCTGGTCTCATTAAATGGCTGTTTAAACATCTGCATGAACACTTGCAATGAGCAATTGGCATTGCAAAAGCAGAGTATCAAGTCTCCTGGCACGTTCAGGCTTGTAATACTGAAACTTTCTGAATGGAAGGGTGAGTGTGAGGTTTTTTTGCAATGACAGTATCAATTTACAGTAATTGATTTGGAGAGACTGACAGAAGAGGAGGGTTGTAACATTTTTCTGAATGCATTGCTGTGTTAGAAACCTTAGAAGATTGTAATACTAAAATAGCAGTGTTACAATAATATTATTAATACTACTGGGAAGGGTTGCTTTTTTTTTAAATAGATGAATTTTACTTTCTAGAGCAGAGGCATTTAAATAGTCCTCAGCATATAATGTTTCTCCTAACACAATATCATAAACAATCAATACTGGAATAATAAGACAAGTTTAAAATTCATGTAAGCAATATTATCTGTTGCAAGTAGTGTCTAGTTACTCTAAAATACCCTGAAAATCTCTGCTGAGGAGAGTCACTGTTGTCAGCTGACACTTATATTTTTAGTAATGGAATAGCTTGTTTAATAAATATACTTTGCTTTATACTTTGTATTTTTATACTGCCTGTTTTGGCTGTTCCAAGACAGATGACTTTGGGCTGTATTTTTGTCCCTCATGGGGTTCTGCTGAACTGGAGATTGTGTATCACTGATTACACCAATATAATATGGGAATGTCTGCCTGTTCTTGCAACTGTTTACTGGTGCAGATATATTCATTTCCTTGAGGCAGCATTAGCAGTTGGGCCTCAAACTTTAACAGAGCCTTTATTTTGCCTGATTTGTGCTCTATATAAAATTATATAAATGATCATAGTACGTGGCAGGTGTCTTGCACTCACTAATAAATATTGTAAATAAAATTAAAGGAACGTTGTGTCTTATAAGGGAGGAAAGTGAGGAAGGCAACACAGCTGAATGTCTGTTCCAAAACAGGCACTTCTACTCCTTTCAAACAGAGCTGCTGCCTTCAGTGCCCTAAGCTGAGAGATGCCTAAAGAGATAATGTGAATTCTACTCTACCATAACAGTTTATATCAATAAGGATTCATCACCTTATTTCATCCATTCATAGCTAAGGACTTTCTGCAGTTTTGGTAAAACAACAGGAAAATGTGCCTGCAACTTCAGATTGTTCCCAGGTTTGTATCCAGTCTGCAAATCATATGCTTATAAGGGTTTTTTTTTTTTAGGCACTTTCAGGCAAGGTTGAGGAGTAGTTGTCTAAGTGATTTGCCAAAGAATTCCTGAAGGATCATGCTT